TCCAGAGCTGCGCCCAGCAGCTTGTCATTTGCAGTAACGAGAAATCTCGTGGGCCTGCAGCCCTCCTCCTACACCTGCCATTCACAGCCAGCCTGGCCCGAGCTCCTTACCGAGCCCAGCGGGCCCGGAAGAGCAACCGGAGTAACCCTGCCTCCCCCCCTCTTCAAAGGGAACAGTTTCAGCAAATCAAGTCTGACCACCAACCCATCAATACCGTCATTGGGAAAAGGCCCCATAAGGAAAGACTCAGGGGCCGGGACAGGAGGTGGCTTTGCTGACAGGGGAGTCGTTGGGCCTGCCTCACAGTATGGGGAGCACCTGGTCCCAGTGGATTCGGGGATGAGTCGGGGACGGGAGCAGCTGTTTGGGTTGACTTCCCCGCAGATGCTTTAAATTTTGTTCCTTAGAACAATGGTGTTATTCACTGAGATACCAGCCCTCTGCTGTCACGGGAGTGGGGGGGGGGCGGATGTAACGTGTCCCCTACTACATTAACCTGGGTGCAGGGGACATGGGGCACCCCGCACAGAGAGCAGCAGCTGGGCGCGGTGGCCTGCGTGCTTCTCTGTGCCATGTCCTCCCAGTCATGCTGCACCCAACCAGGGCCTTCAGTCACATGTAGGACGGTGGCCTCAGCTTAGAGCCTTGCAGACTTGGTGAGCCAGGTGAATGAGCTTGGCTTCTGCCCGTGACCCGGGCCAGCAGAAACCCAGGGGGCCTTTTTTTCTTTTTTTTAAAGAGGGTTGAGGCAAGAGGTTTTTGAGAGAAGCAGACTGATTTTAAAAAAGATATTTACCAAACTTAAAGTGAATGAATTCCCCTTGTTTTAAAACCCAGGATGGCTTACCAGCCTTTGGTGATTTTTTTTTTCTTTTTTTCCTTTTTTGCTTTTAAGCATTGGACTCTAGCCCTCCAGCGGGCAGGACCCTGACTCTTGCTGACGGGTGCGGGCCCCGAGCCCCTGCCTGATGCCCGTTGTCTGAGTGGGCATCAGCTGTGCGCACAGTTTGCAGGTGGGGCTGCATACGGGCACGCCTCCTTTATCGCGCTCGGCTTTATTGCCTCGCAGATGCTGCGTGTGTTACAAATTGAAGGGCGGACCCTCCGCCCTCCGCCTGCGCGAAGTGACGGCTGCAACCTGGTGGCGGTCCTCGGTCGGCGTGGTCTGGGGCGGAGCTGTGGTGCCTCCGCCGCTCCTGGGGTCCCACCTGAGCGTGACTCCTCCTCTGCCACTCCTTCCCGCTGAGACGACCCACGCCGGGAGGAGCCGCACTGCGCGAGGGTCCTCCGCACAGAGG